GGTGATTATTGTCACACGAAACCATCAATAGTTAGTCAACTGTTCCATCTCATCTGTTTAGTTATTTTGAAGTTCTAATGACACAATAATAAAAATTATCTTTTCTATTTCTAGATGTCATTTGCTCTCCGGTATTTAAAAAATAGCCTGACCACATATATTTTCCTTTATTGATATTTTTCTTGGTTTTTTTTTTTTTTATTTTCTCAAGCTATCATTGGTAGGTGTGAGACATAAAAACTTACACAGGTCAGTTATTTTATTTGTTTTCATATATAAATCCAGCAAAAAAGGTGAAATAAAATGGAGTATTTTATACACATAAACACTTATTAATATATACAGTAGATTAAAAAGAAAACCCTCAATCAGTTGCTGAAGTTCTCTAGACCAATAATCTGTGAGTGGAAAAAGATTTGCATGTTTGATGTAACTGTGTAAATTCAAATTCAAAGTAGGTGTTCCTAAAGTTATTGTAGCAGGGCTTGATTTTGTTTTCCTCCAACAAATTTGAGTTGGAGAGGCAAATATCAAAGTTTGTAGAGAGAGTTAATATACATAAACTAACGGAGTTTCAGCTGCTAAAAGACAAAATCTCTTCCAGCAGTAACTGTACCTCTCTGCCAGAGAAACTCCATATATGGCTAAATCTTCTGTCTTTTGCATATATTTTTACACTGGATAAAAGAAAAAGGAAACAACAAAAACACCCAACATAGTCAGAGGCCTGAAGTGACTCCAGTTCCAGAGGTGTTGATGGAAAATCCAGCACCATTAACTGTGGGAAGCCACATCTTAAAGTGGTTTGGTGTTCATGATCTTAGTGGTTTGATTTACATGGAAAACCTGCCTCCCCTCTCTTTTGCAGTGCTGTTGTTTATCACAGAGGTATCAGATCCCCATTTAGTGCCAGCAAGGGGCACTGATGGCTCATGATCTGCCTCAAGCACAGCTGAAGTTCTCACACCTTTGGCATTTCACGTTGTGCTCCTCTGTGCTCAGCACAGGAGCTCCTGCACAGGAGACAAGACTGGAGGGAGCTGCATGTTGAGCGGCCAGAAATCTTACACAGCTGTTTCACAGGGCACAGGATGGGGCAAACTGTAGTCTTTATGGTGATGTTCCCCTTTTCCACAGTAAGAAAAAGCTTTCCTGCTGCACAACACACATTATTATTCTCATATATGCACAGCCCTTTCCCCCTGTGTGCCCTCTGCCCACAAGCTGCCACCGAAGCCTGTTATTCCTCCCAGGCTGCAGAACTGTTGCTCCCATCCTTCAGACCAGTGATATTTTCAACACCATAAACTGTTGACATTTTTGCCTCAATTAAACCTCTGGCCTCTGTGAATCATCTCCCTTTCCTCCCCCTCTTTTCCATGTTATTTTGTGCTATTTATGTCTCAAGTCCTTTGAGAGGGCTAAAAAGCCCAACAAGGTGACACAGGCCCATCAAGGAATTTCTTTCTCACTTCCAGTCCTTTTTACATTAATATTTCCAGATGCTGGGGCATGGGGTGTTCATCTTGTGTCCTTGGCCATTTCAAGTTTTATTGACTGCATATGAGCTGAAAGATATTTTCTTACCCTTTGATCAAACGCAAATACTTTTCTGCCAGATGAAATGTGTCATCAGACAAATTCCCTGAGCAAGTTTCCATGCAAGGGCACATACCCCTGGACTTGGCCATCTGTAACACACAGTCCAGGCACCTCCCCAGCAAGGAATGTTTGCAGCTAAGGAGAGCACCACTGTTCTTCCATCCTGTCTCAGCCCCAGTGAAGGCCTGAAGCAGGATTTATCCGACCTCATTTTTCTGTATAGAGTTGTGAACTCAGAGCTTGTCACCCCGAGCTTCCTATTTTTAAGTAATTTGCCATTCTCATTTTCTTGTGACCTGCTGGGTCACCTTTTTCCAGTGGTGCATGGGAGAGTTTGAAGAATAGGAGCTCTGGGGGAGAGGCAACACTGCTGTAGGGTGGGGTTTAGGCTCCTGACTGCTGCTCATTGCTATTCTGAAGTCTCAGCAAAGGAGCAGAAGACTCCTGGGGCCACTTGGAGTTTTCATACTGGGTTCTCCATGCTGACAGACAGTTAATAAGCAGAGGTTGTTCTGCACAAAGGAACCATTCCTACCAAAATGCTGGTACTGTCCTTCATGTGACAGAAACCTTGTCCTCTTGTTAAGGTTATGTGCTTGGAGTGCAGCACTTAGATGAGTTTGGAATTAGAAAACCTCAAAAAATTCCACAGTTGCACAACACTAACATGTCACCTCTTCTTTGCACTGACTGGTATAATCTGATGACAATGAAATGTGTGAAAAAAATCATCTGCTAATACCAGATTTTACACTGCCTTCTACAGCAACAGGGAGCATTCCAAGTGGTTCCTGTAGCAAGGCTGATTTTACAACTGGAGTACAAATTAATGCCTATGAATTGGGGTACCTCAATTCCAAATGGGGTCCAGAGATTTAGATATCATAAACCAAATTACCTGAGCTTATTGGATAGAGGGACTTGGATTTTGAGACACTTTCTTGCTTTTTGAACACTTGTAATCAAATAGTTGGCTTCATGGACTTGATTAAAATGGAAAGATTTAGTCCTTCTAGTACTAATGTTTTCCTTTATCTTAGTACCCAATCAACTTGTTGGTTTATGCACCTGCCTAAATTCCTCACAAAGATAATATATATTTATTCTTGTGTTTATCAAGCTAAAAATTGCATGTAGTTGATCAGTTGTGCTGATCATACTTTCCTTATAGAAACACCTGTTTATAGAATATAATTTATATTATAATATAATATTATAATTTATATATTTATAGAAATTACCTGTTGTATCTGCCAGATATCCTACAAAAGATCTGGTAGTTTCTTTCCAAATCAGTGAAGTTATACCATGTCTGATTCTCTAACAACCTGTTTCAGCATGTGTTTGAGACAGACCATCAGAGCTGAGGAAGGGATTAATTTCCAGCTCTGGGTTAGCAGCATGCATGGTTCTATTCCCGCCAGTGGGGCAGCCAGGTGCATCTGCACCCTCTTACCTTATCCCCTCATGGCCCACAATGACTTTTTGTGCTGAGTGTGGCTGGGGTACAGTTAATTTTACTAATAGCAGCTAGTATGGGGCTGAGGTTTGGATTTATGACCAAAAACGTGTTGATAATTCAGAGATATTTTCAATATTACTGAGCAGTGCTTACACAGCACCTTTGTGCTTCTCAACCCACCCACCACGGAGGGGGCAGGGGAGCTGGGAGGGGACACAGCCAAGACAGCTGATCCCAAGTGACCAGAGGGATATCCCACACCATGCTCAGCACATAAAGCTGGGGAAAAAGGAGGAGGTGGAGCACATTCAGAGTGATGGTGCTTGTGTTCCCAAGCCATCATTATATGTGATGTAGCTCAGCTTTCCTCCAATGGCTGCATACCAAACTGCCCATGGGAAGTGGGGAATGGATTCCTTGTTCTGCATTGCTAGATGTGTGTAGCTTTTCCTTTACCTATTTAACTGTCTTTGTCTCAATCATCGAGTTGTCTCACTTTTACCCTTCTGGCTCTCTTCCCTGTGATGGGGGAATAAGTGACTGACTCCCTGGGGCAGGACTGTCAGCTGGGGTAAAACCATGACATTCCTACCCTTGTGTTTTCACTTACCTCTGCACCTTCTTCCTGTATTTCACATTTGGGTCCTCCCTAGCACCCTTCCATCACCTCCTAAACAGATTTTATCTCACCAAAACCACGTTCACCCTGCCCTTCACCCACTCCCACTGTCTCAGGCAGAAGGGCAATCTCAGGGCTGGGTGGGTTTCTGCAGCCACATGGGATGAGCAGCTGTACAAGAGAGCAGCCACTTGGCATGCAGACAGCTCAGGGAGATGCCTCCTTCTGGGCTGCTGCTGCTCACCAGGAGCTCTGTGAGGTGTGATCATCCCCTGGCTCTTCTGAGCTCTCAGACTGTAGGAAAGGTGGTAGATGTTCATGTCCTATCCTCCTTTAAAGACTCCCAGAGCACCAGTGATACACAGTTCTGCAGCATCTGAATGAAGCAATTGCTATTTATGTATGTAAATAAATGCTCTGGGACTTTCAACCCCTGCTTTCAAATCAAGGAGACAAAATATTGCAATTCCTTTTCATGACAAAGATTTCTAAAAGAAGAGAACATAGACAGGATTTTGGTTTCAGAGGCATCAGGTTTTGCTGGGGAACTGCTAATTTTTTTGTTTGTTTGGGTTTTTGTTGTTGTTGTTATTTTGTTTAAAAGCTTTTTGCCCTGATCTCCCGACTCTCTGAGGGGGTGTCAAAGTAATTTGGTCATTCAGAGAGAGCCTCAGTTTTCCTTTTCCTCACTTTCTTTTCCCCCTAAAGGAGACAGCAGTTCTGGGGGTTGGTGTGAGCTGTCCCTCCTCCCCATGGCATGAGTACCTCTACACACACATTCCTACATGATTTCTTCAATTAGCAAAATACAGACCCTTTTGTCAATGTAATCTACAGAACTAATTCTCTGATCAGTGCTGACCACCAGACGTCAGTGTCAACCCTTGAATCACTTTGCAGCAAAAGGATATGAAAAGGTGTGATGCCCTTTTACTCCTACAAATTACAAATCTACAAATTGTCCCATGTTTTCTTCACAGGTGAACGGAAACTCAGTTTAAAAAATACACAGACATGGGATTTCTTGGATCTATAGGTTAAGTAACCCTAATAGGTTCTGCATGGGATATCTTAACATATGAAAATGGAGGAAAAATGAGCAATAGTAGATCCTAAAATCAAAGATTCTGATTTTTCCTCAAATGATAAGCATTCCTTTTGTTGGCAAGGCTAGTTGGAAGCAGAAATTGCTTAACTGAAGCTGGGTTTATTGTTTGAACATAATTATCATCACTATAAGATTTCACATTGAGCTTCCAGATGATTTTAATGATGAAATTTTCCAGATGAAATGCACAGAAACATCAGAACACTTACATTCCTTGGTGTTGGGAGGCGCCAGCAAGCACGAGTAGCAAACCATCCCGTAGATGTTCCGAGGTCTGTTTTCCAGCATGTAGTAACTGCAGTGAAGGGCAAGAAGAGGCAAAACAGTGAAAATTAATATGATATGACTGAACATGGTTCAGCAGCAACCAATTATATGGAGATAAAATCATTTTTAAAAACTTTTATAAGAAATTTGAGGCAAAGATTATTCTTTCTTTTTTTTCTTTTTTCAAATTGCCTGAATAGACTGTGTTTCTCTTGTTGCTTTCCTCCTAAAATGTAATTAATCAAACATCTAGACATGACAAGAAGTGGTAACATTGCCTAAAACAACATTAGTCTCCCTGCTGAGTTCAAGCTGCAGTTTACAGCATGCCCTGAAATAAGAGTTTTCAAAATAAGAGAATACACTTTTTTAAGCAGTAATCTTTCAAGCAAGACCACCAGTTGGATATGGTCGGCTAATTTTACTCACAAACACCCTAAGAATAATTTCTGTAATCTTAGAACCAAATCTGAGCCAGATCATAATAAAAAATACAGGAAAAAAACACCCTCACATGCCAAGGCAGATTAGGTTTTACAGGTTTGTTTTGTTTTTTTTTTAATTTCCTTGCTGTATTGTTTATAAATTAGTCCTTGATAGTGGAATTACAGTGTGAAGGAAAGGTTTCCATAATTTGAATTTCTGGGCTGCTAATAAAGTTAGTGTTGAAATAACGTAATTGGCTACTCAGGAGTTGGATCCACATGCACCCTAATGAGTAATTACATCAGAATCATATATATGTTGATGTAACATCATAGTGTTGATGTTATGGATATGTCTTTACAAATCACTTGTAAATCACTACATATTTTAATGAAGAGATGAATAAATTCATAATCTATTTTGTGTAGACAGGAACTCAACATTACAAACATTTTATGCAACTGGGGATCTATTTTCTGCTCTTATGTACCTGCCTATGCATGTGAAGTGTGTTTTTTTTCTGGAAAATGTATGCATTGTTAAGAAATCACTGATGAAACAGTCCATCAAAATCAGTTGGTGTATTAATGAATGACAAATAAGAGATCTAGGTCCAGGAAATGGAATACACAGAGATGCAAAGGGGAGACAGGGACTGGAGGAAACACAGAGAGCAGGGGAACTACACGTTTTCTCATTTCTTTCTTACTGGTTTTAAAAAATTCACCTTCACTTCTTTCAAATATCTCCTGTGCCCCATTGTGTCACTCTACCATTCTCTCAGGAGCAAAATTTCATCTTTTGTTTCTTATGGGGGCCTACATAATTTTAGGTTGCAAAGCAGTTAATAAATACACAGGAAAAGGCTGCCAAACCACAAAACAAAAGAGTGGAAGCCCAAAGATACATATAAATCTATGAAGAAAAATACAGGACAGTTAGAATCCACAGTCTAATAGCTGTGCTGGTTTAGGAAAGACAAACAATCCTTCTGCCACTTAATTAAGTAAAGCTGGTGGAATAATTCTTGGTTTTCACCACAATGCAGAATGGTGGAGGACATTAAAGAAAACTGAAGAGGATGCTCATGGCAGGCAACCTTTCACTCACGTGAGTAGGAAACTGCATTTGCAAACATTAGTGACTCGCCCACACGAAGTAGTGGCAGCAGATTTGTGTTTCTGGTTACTTTCCAATGTACCAGATACAAAAAGTAATGTTGGAAATATGTGATAGTTTTATATCACCAACTACGAGAAGTGACCCACTAAAGACAAAACGAATTTTTACAGTATTACTCTTCCACTATGATATTTATCCTTTCTTTCCTTGGTACCTGCCAGGCTCAGGTTTGGAGGGGCTACAGGCAAAATCCAAGAATAGAGGCTAGAGTGAAAAATTGACTTGTTTTCCTGTTTAACACCACAGTGGCTTATCTTGGGCTAACCTTGGTGGTGTCATTCCAGACTCAGGGACTTGGACCTGGATTTAGGTCTGCCCTTTCACAGGAAGAGGGAGCCTGGACCGGGGCAGGAGGTGGAGAGGGATGGGTGCTGTTCTCAGCAGGGCACAGTCTGCAGAGAGAAAAGGAGGACTACCCTTGGTAGAGGGGTCTGCTGATTTATCCAGAACAGCAAGGATGGGACTTGGTTTCATTAGAAATTCACTGGCTAAACCTTTTCATGCAAAAAACAGAGGAACATTCACTCCTTCTCTTAAAACCTCTCAGAGAACTGATCCTGCATCTGCTGTAGCCAGGGACAAACACATGAAATGGGGAAGTGTCAGTAGCAGAGGCATCTCAACTGCATTTAAAAAGAAAATGATCCCATTGCAGTTCTATCTTGTGAGGGGACTAGAGACTTATCCCAAGCTGAAAATAGGTGCTGGGAGAGCATAAGGGTTATGTATTATTTATACTTGACCTGTTCTTACTCCCTGTGGCCACTACTGAATGAAGACAGACGACCAGGCTAGAGGGACCCTTGCTCTGACCTGCCATTGCTGCTTGTAGTTGGCTGTGATCTCAGTCACACTCCAGGAACACCTAATGGATCACCCCATGGAGGGAAATACTCTGAGTCACACCTAATTTCCACGTTCTTAACCTGTCCTCTTTGGCATGATGGGAGAGCTTCTGGGCAGGGAGCAGAGGACAAAGCCTGCAGTGTCCCAGGAGGCTCGGTCCAGGTACCTCTAGAGTTCACTTGCAACTGGAATTTGGTTTTGAGGATCACAGCTTTGGAACTAAGCCTTTAAAATCTTCCTTGTCTTTCACACTTCTTGTGAGCCTGACAGTGTTATTTTTATTTTCTATGAGAGGGAGCACAAAGAAGTAGTGGATGACCTCTCCTACCAAAGGTCTCCTTCTTCCCTAAAATTGGTCATCAGTAATAGTGAAAAAAAGAAAATAAAAGGAAAAATATATAATTACCCAGTATTTATTTTAAGATAAAGTACAGAGGATGGCTCTTGCAACCATTGGAAAAGGTTGCCAGTTCAGTGATATTTTGTCTGAAAAATTTCATACAGAATGTGCCATATGCTCATCTTTTCCTCAGACTTCTTTACTGAGCTGTTGAAAAATAGCAAAGGGATGAGATGTCCTAAGTGCAATGTGGGCTGTTATCTTGGGCAGTGTGTTATGGAAGCAGTGCTCTGAAAATGGAAACCTTGCTTTTATCCCTCACATTCACTCAGGAGCTCTCTGAGGTTTACTGCCCACGCAAGGGAGCACCCTGCCAGATGCCACTCACCCTGGCACCTGGCTGTCCTGTGGCACAGGGGACAATAAGGACAATCAACTACACACCAGCTCTCTGCTCTGACACACACACTCTGCATTTCCCCCACCAGCACACAGGAGCAGACTCTGAGGACTCTAAGTAGCATGAGGAGACAGGGCAGCTTCAGAGCTTGTTTTAGCTCATATTTAGTTTATCTTGAGAATTCCATCTATTCAAGCTCGGGCTGAGAGGGTGTTTCTCCTTAACTGCTGGCTTTGCCAAACAATCCCAGGACCTGAGCATAGCAGGAGGGGCGGCACACAGCCAGATTCTGGCAGACCAGTTTCTGCTACAGGCTACACCTGTGCAAACACGATGTTTTGAGATTTCTCCCCAAGCACCAGCTGTGCAAGCTGATTATTTTCAGCCAGCACCCTGCTCCCACCTGGGTGACCTCATTAGTCCTGACAAAAATTGCAAAACAGCAACTGTGACCACTATTTAAGTTTCTTGCTCTTTATGATGTATGAGGGGGAGTCAAGAGGGAGCTTTTTTCAAGTCACATCATCAGTCTGTTTGGCTGGCAGCTAGACAAGTCCTTCATTTTATTTGTAAACTGTGAATATTTCACACAGACTTACTGATAAAATAAACCTGGAGGCTTGCAGGGCCTCTTTAAGAGGGCTTCCTGTGCTATAGGGAGTGTGGGTTATACAGCATCTGCAAACTGCACAAAAGCCAAATGTCAGTAGGAATTATTCTCTAAGCCAAAGAGATATAGTGGCAGAAACTGAAAAGGTATGTAAGGTGAGGTTGTATTTTAGAGTATTTACTCATCCTACAAAAAAAGTCAAGAGTGCAAATATACACTTGGGTTTGCAGACTTTCAGATGCAATATTGTCAACGGTATACATATCCAGTGTAGCAATTTCTTTCTCACCATTATTATCAGAATTATACAGAGTGTAAGAGACCATTATAAAGATGGACTTAATCAACAGCACCTGTTTTAAGCCCCTTCAGCCAGCCCTGAAACTTGTTTTGGCTCTGAACAACACTTCACACACTACATTAACAGCTCCTTAGACTCCATTCTGTTGTGTAGAAAGGACCCGAGAGACTAAAATGCCTTGGTAAATCTCACTGAACAGCTATGTTAGCTAATCCTGTCAACTACTGACAAATGTGCCAGCTGTTCACATCTGGAGAGGAGATGTTTTATGCTCCTAAATATACTGTAGTGCCAGCATAGATCCTACAGGGTATTTAAGGTGCTGTCATGCAGCTCATATGTAGGAGGCAGGACTTGGAGGGTGACCCTCTGAAGCTACAGCTGGAGGCCAAGCTGGATTTCTTAGAGCATTTAAAACGGCACTGCACACCTTTCCATTTCTAGTAAGAGAAAATTTTTCTAGTTGCTCCAAACAGATATTTCTTCATGAGATTTCAGTAAGATTAAAAACATCTTCTTTAGAGTCCCTTCCAGGCCTAACTATTTTATGAATCTGTGTTTATTAAACTCACCAATGCTTTTGAAACATTTAAATACATTGTTTTAGCAGAGATGAAAAAGCATAATTTGCCAGTATTGTACATACAGTCAGCTTTGACATGGAGAGGCTGTCAGAGATTTTGACGTTAGAAAAGCACTTCCCAGTGCCTTGGGTTGAGCAAAGGTCTGTGGATAAGTCCTTACCCTGGGAGACAGGGACCACACTCTGCATCATTCTCCTGATCCCCAGGTGTCATGACTGTGGCTCGAAAAAAGCCCTCGCAGTCCTTGTGCCGTCGGCATATCTGGTAACCTCCTTTGGAAAACTTCTCTGAAGGGCAGGGGACGCAGCCATAGTCCTCATCTTTGGTGCCATATCCACATGTCTGCAACAAAACCAAAACAGCCACTCAAAAGCAGTCCTGTGCTGCACACCAGCTTCTAGCAAAAGAGAATGTTCACAGCCTGCCTGCCCCATTGGTTTGCAGCACAAAGGGAGAGGAATAATTCCTTTGGCCTGTTAGTGTCTCTCCTAAAAAGACCATGCAGGGATATAAGGATGCAGCACACTCTGTGCTGGAGAGGGAGAAAGGGGAACTGGAGCAACATACTGCTGGTAACTGGCCCCCCATACTACTTCTGTCATAGTCCAGCAAATTGTGAAAGTGAATTTCAGCTGCTGCTTGGATAGAAAGCGAACTAAAAATGGAAGAGTAGAGAAAACTACAGGAGAAATACAGCTGCAGCAGGGCTCTCAGCAGTTTCAGGCTAGGAGACCCTACAGGGAACAGCCCAAAAGGCAATGTTTGGATGAGATTTTGTAACCTCTGAACTCACATGTCCCAGCTGAACATGACATTTAGATTAAATAAAACCAAACCCAACTGGTTATTATTCAAACATTCTTGTTTGGGACTACCTATTGTATGAAATGCTTGCAATAGGATGTTTATCCCATTAAAACCAAACAGGATTTCAGTAATTTATCTTTTTAATAAGCAACAATTATCTGCTGTAAATCAAATGGTTACCTAGGAACCGTAATTTAAAATATTGCAGAAACATCCACGTTCCTCTAATGCCAAAAGATCTTAGCGGGAGAGCAAAATTAACTTTTTAAATTTTGTGTGTGTTTAATTTTGTGTGTCAGTGTGAGGGGCCAGCAGGCAGACCAGACTGACCTGTTTGTCACTCCGTGTTGGAATGTCAGCATCACACATAACTACTGAGATGAGAACAGACTGGCAGGGGCTGTGTATGGAACCGCTACCTTTTAATTTTTACAGTATCCCTTTTAACAGGATTGCTGGTGTGCATGCAGGATGCCACGCTCCCACGGCACACTTGGAGGTGTGAGTGCTCCTGCTTAGACATCCATAGCCTTCCCCATTTCCTTTCATACCCATTACTGCCATACAACAAACCATTTGGGTTTTTTGCATTTGGTGCTTGATATGTTCCCCCCAGCAGCAGAAGAAGCAGAAATTACCATGTAAGGTTCTTCACCCGGCTCACACTTGGGGCAGTCGTGGCACATGCCCGTGGTCTGGTTGTAGTATTCATTCTCACCGCAGTTGGAGTATTCGGCACTGGCAGAGTACACCAGGGAAACCTGTCACCAGAGAGCATTCCAGAGTCTGTCACTTCCCTTGCCATCGTCCTCCATGCCTCACCCCTCCCCTTGCACAGCCTGTGGCTCAACAGGCAGCAGGGCCATCACTGCAGGTGAAACACCTCTAAAGCTCAAAAGCAGAAGTGGCATCACAGTATCTCCAGGTTGGAAGAAAACTCCATGATCATGAAGTCCAACCTACACCCCAACACCTCAACTAAACCATGGCACCTAGTGCCACATCCAGTCTTTTTTTAAATACATCCAGGGATGGTGATTCTGCCACCTTCCCAGGCAAAGCATTCCAATATTTTATTATTCTTTCCATAAAAAACTTTTTCCTAATACCCAACCTATATCTCCCTTGGCACAGCTTAAGACTGTGTCCTCTGGTTCTGTTGTGCTGCCTGGTGAAAGAGACCAACCCCATCTGACTACAGCCACCTTTCAAGGAGTTGTAGAGAGTGAGGAGGTCACCTCTGAATCTCCTTTTCTCCAGGATAAACCCCCTCAGCCATTCCTCTAGGACACTAGATGACACTATTTAAATGGAAGCAGATGCAGGTTTCAGCAATCTGGTGCTTCCAAGAGTTTCTCAGAGACTGACATTCATGCTTGTTGGCACTGCCACTCCTTAAAACACTGGAGGCCACAGTTCCTGACCTGTTAACTCACATGCTCTCCCACACAGGCAAATGCCTGAGTTCACACCCTCATCACTCCCAGCTCTAATGAGCCTTCATAAATGTGACTGCAAGGGACAACTATAACAACCAGAGATAATGCACTGCCTTGGGCCTCAACCACAATAGGGTGGTGCTTCATGTGACACCCAGGCTACTGGTGCACTGCTTTTCCAGCACCTTCTGTCTCTGCTCCATCCTGGGTCCTTCTCCTTCCCACTCCTCCCTAGCAGACACAGTTTAAACAGCACGTTCTCAGCTGGAATGAAAACGATCACTGCATTGAGGTTCAGTCCCCAGGTCAAATGTGGGTCTGCCACAATTCACAGGTGGTTATGAATAACCCAAGCAGAACCCTGTTACCTTTGCACACTAGAGAGACGTACACACAGAAGTACCTACCATCAGGAAAGGGAACACGTGAGTCCATTTACGTTCACCCAGGTGAGCCATGCTCTCTTGATATTTCACCTGAAAAGATAGAATTGGTGATTGTTTATGAACAGGAGTAAATATTTGTGTGTGTTGCCAAAATAAGAACAGAAGGGCTCATAAGCAGAACAAAGGTTACATGGGAGCAATGCCCAGAGGTCTAAACAGAGAGGGGGGAGATGTGCACGTGCAGCTGTGCACACACAGACACCACACACCCTTCCTGCACATCCCTTTCCTCTCTTTGAGAAGATAATGGCAGGTGGGAATCCAATCTTCCTATATTTACAAAAATCTGTGAAAGATGAAGAACCAAGTCTGAATTCTGGCACCTCTTGGCTTGCTGAAGAATCCTCCCATGGAGGAGTGGAGGGAGGTTTGACCACTAAATGAGGGAGGGCTGGGGATCAGTAGCCTGGTTTGTGTCCACACTAATTAGTGTTTGACCACACTACATCAGGTTTGTCTGGGAAAGATCCGTCAGGAGCAGCCAAAGCAGAGCCAGGGAGTGAACCAATGGCAAGCAGTCAGAACACCAGGGCTGCACTTTCCTTGCTGGCTCCTGTGGATGCACTGAGAAAGCTCCAGAGCTGCTTTCCCTTCTTTAGGAAGCATCAGCTGCTTTTTGTTCTTGATAAGCAAACTGCAGATTTAAGAAGTTAAACTCAAGGCAGGAGCCAAACCTTATATCCGAAAAGCTATTAAAACAGTTGGCAAAAAGAAAGGCTGAAATCGATGTTACAAACACAATTTCTTTAGTTTCTTAAAATGATTAATTTTGAATAAAACTAATGTTCCATACTCAAGTACTGGATTTTTTTCTAAGGTGAAAAGAGACAGGAAAAGGAGGCTAAATTTTTTTTTTTTTTTTCAGCTTGATACAACCTATTTAATTATATTGTTACAGCACATAATATGGCCTGGGGGTTTTAGAGCTTCAAATTGCAAGTGTTTGAGATACAGTTGCCACATTTTGGTCCTAGCAGATGTAAACAAGTCTTTCAATTTTCCATGTCTCAGACGCTGGGAGACTTTTAGCCTCCCAGAAAAATACAATTACTGCTTTGTGCGACATTCGAGCATACAACTTACATGAGAGCAGTGCTCTAGCATTTGAGATAGCTGCTAACACTTACATTTTTAAACACTAAGTAGATTAAGCAAAGATTATATCACTCCACCATCAAGCTATGAACTTGCTTTATATGTTCCTTCCAGCAATTGGGCTAGCTGAGACAGGTAACTGGGTGGGTGGGTGGACAGCCTGAATTATGAGTATATTCGTTTGTGCAGGAAATTGCACTTTGAAACCTAGAAACAAAAGAGAATCAGAGATAAATTGTCCTAAATCTGGAGGTAAGAGATGGAAAATAGTAATTCCATTGTATGAAGTGTCAAACACGAAGTTGGATGAAGTCTTTGTCTGTGGCAGAGCAGTTGCCTGGAGAAGTTCCAAGGATATTGTCTTAATGCATATGCATGTTAAACTGTACCCTAATTATAAGAGTTTGTTAGACCTTAGATATTAATACTATTAAGGCCCCACTGATACTGCTAAATTATTGCATTTATTATAAATCTGGTTGGAGGCTGCTCAGAACCAAAAATTTCATCAGTAAGTCTTGAATCTGTAACTTTACAGTAAGAGTATATCTTACAGAAAACCACACTTCAGTTGCTTTCAAGCCACCCAGATGTTCGCTGTTTGAGGTACTTGAATGCAATCATAGCCAGATTTGAAGGATGGAAACTAAGAAGTATAGCCCACTAATGTTCAAGATAATCTTCTTCATTTGGCATTTATTTACATGAAGTGTTGAAAGTGTCAAGTTATACATGCATAAATAAAATATTTTTTTTCTCTCTTAATATAAATATGCATGTGGGGTATGCTTTGTATGTAAACATACTTTTTCCCTGCGTTCTCTCATTTTATGCAGCAATATGTCAAGCATATGGGAAATACTTCTTTTAACTGGAAAAAGCCATTTCAAAATGCTAGATTAGAACCCCAGGGGAGACTTTTCCCACAAATTGCAATATCAAGAAAGTTAAATTTTGGTATTCATCCTGCTATTCAAGTACACTGCCATAAATTGACTGTGTTATTTCTGTTGGTTTTATTTGTTTGGTTGGAGTTTTTCCTCCTTCGGTGTTGAAACTCAAACCACTTATTTTATAACACAGGAGTGAATATGGGAGTGGGGGGAGGGAGATGAGGAAGGTTTCTGGCAGTAGGGCCACAGGTAGTTACTCAGCTGGGGAGACACCTGAAGGTGTCGACCAAGATAAGCCAGGCTGCTCTTGGGCATGGTTTTAGGCCTGGTAAGTTATATCTGCACCATGCTATCTGTCACTCATTAATCCCATCCACACAGCAAGGGGTCTTCTAGTGCCAAGACTGTCTTGTTTCTAGCTGACACCTATGAAGACACATTCAACCAGCCAGCTTCTGCCAAGAAGCAGGAAAAAGAGTGACCAGACATTATGGCCCCTAACCATTAAAATAAATTGGTTCTTAATGAATTATTCTCCTTCAGCTGAAGCAAATGACTTTCTCCCATGAAGTGGCTTTAAGCAGTGAGCAGGAAGGAGGTGGAGGTGTATTTTTTTGCTGGGACTCCAGTATCACTCCTAAGGAATTCGGGATCTCCGGCTGTTTGTCTGCCAAGCCCTCCAGAGATCCTGATTTGTGTTTTTGTTTGGGACGTGTGGGTGTCTCCAGAGAGGAGGTGTAAAACACAGACAGTGTCTTTGTGGATCAGGTGTGCAACACACAGCAAGTCTCGTCATGACTAGCGAGGGTTGCTAATTACAGCTATATTTGTCTTTTGGGCATATTCGTTAATAGCTGGTAAGACTATACATGTAAGATGACAGGAAAAGGAAGACTGTTTTCCCAGTGGCAACCACAGCAAGAAATGCTGGAGACTCCCCGTCTCTGCTACTTTCCTGTAGATGCAAGGCAGAGAGTTGGGAAACAGAAAAAAAGAGATGACTGGGACCCTATTATTCAAATATTTCTCCTCTCAGACCAAAAATCCTTCCATACAGTCCTTGTGGTTTCCTATCAAGAACTGGTAGATACAAATAAATAAGTAAGCAAATCATTAAATAAGTAAACCACCATGTAGAAAATGCTCAGTTCATGCTGTCTAAACAAGAAAAAGCATCATTCATTGTCGTTAGCCTTTGAATTTGACAATTTATTTGGATTATTAGGTAGCACTGTCATGATTTATTTACAGCCTCGATGATTATAGTCAGAGTAAATACATGAAATGTGCAAACAATGAGGTTATCAGAGCTGGTGGACTAAACTAAAGCTCACAGCTTTCAAAGAAGAACCTTACATGTTCTAATTCTCAGGATTCAGTAAGTAATACGGTGGAAAAATAATTTCCTATCATAGACTTTTTTGTTTTTTAAAATACAGTTGAAAAAATGAGGAAAACAAACACATGGATTGAGGCACAGAAATGTTTCTCATGTAGACAGATGAGGATTTTTTCATACCTCTGTATTTCTTTAGTTTCATCATTGACGTGGATATACTTCAGTGACAGAAAACAACTTTGTGAGAGGGAAAGGCACAACCACTGTCTCAAACAACTTTGCCAGTTCTCATAGGCTTACACACATATTTTTCTGGGTCTTCCTAAGCAGTAGTTTGATTATCAGGTCTGTAGCTAGGAATGTAATCCCTAAGTAGCTGGCAAACTGGTATCAATCATCAATCCCCCTCCAAGACCCCAGCTAAAACCAGCAGAATGCGAGACAAAGGCTTTCATGTAAATAATGGTGGGCACATTTCATGTCCTTCACATGGCCATCAGCAAACCCAGCACTTGCCCTGAGTTCCCAGGGTTTATGGGAGAAACCTGACAAGCCACCTTTTCCACAGATTATCACAGGTTTTTGCATGAGCTCAGTAGATAATGTCTGTATGCTCCCAACGGCACTAAATCCTTCTTAACTGAGATAAGCATATAATCCTCACTGCAGGGCCTCACAGGCTTCAGAGTTCAGCAGCAGAGTTCAGTCTGGCTCCAGACTTCTGAAAAAAGATGCAGTCTGAGTTTTGCTTTTAGGAGGGAAGGCCATCACTGAATGACAATGATGGCACTGCATGCTCAGGGACAGAATAAATTCAGTGAATTAAAAGTAAATGGAAACACAGAGATGATGGAAGAAAACTATTTTGCAGCCTTAATTACAGTTTGCATTGTTGTACAGAACATTATTACATTCGTAGGACAACACCAACTATACTGTTTTCCACTGTTTCTTTATCACTTTGACCTTGCAAATACCTAAAGAATTTCTTCAGAGAGGTGTAAAAAGTGCTAAAATGATACAACTCTATTCTCCCTTTTTACCTGAAACATCAAAAGGCAGTGAGAACAGCCCAAGCTACACATAAAACTTTAATTGCCCTGTGATCTGGAAACCCTGCCAGAAAAATAACTGATTGATTGGGCACAGAAACAAGACTTTTTCCAGTGGGAACAGTATTGACAAGAGGAGACAAAAGATTCTTTAATTTGTTAATGGGTGCACTGTGTGTGGAGGACCTGGGGACAATCAAACCTAATGAAAAGCCATCCATCTCCTACAGACTTGCTTCTTTGGAAAATACTGGAAGTTGATATTTGAACCTGTTTTTTCACCTTACATAAAGGCACATATTAGCTCTCAGGTAGGCAGCCCATCAACTTTATGTAAAGCTCTTTGGGGGAAGAAGAGGCTGCCATGCAGGAACAAAGCAAAAGCAGGAAAGAAGAAAAGGCTTTTCTAATTCATTTTGCAGACTGACACACATTTCTGCTGAAAGTGGGCATTAAGAAGGTCTGAGAGGACCCTGGGGTTTCCCACAATGCACACACTGTTGGCTGGCATGGCCCTGATTCAGCCTCTCCCCTGGGCTGACATTGGGTTTACCTGCCAGCAGCAACCCTTCCAAACCTCACCCTTCTGGGCTGGGACTGCTGGAGGAACACTGTGGTCTCCATTCCTGCTCCAAAGTCCTCTCAGGACAC